ATAATTTTAATGAATTAAATTCTTGAAAAAATTTATTTGTATTTATTGTATATTTATCAATTTTTTCAAGTCTATCTATCAATTCTAATAAACGTTTTCGTTTTTGATTTATTTCAATGATCCATTTATCATGAAATTTTTCATAATTAATTATTTTTTTACGTTGTTCTTTAACAAGTACTGCATATTGTTTTGTTGTATTGTCAAGTATATCATGTTCCTGTTTGGCATTATTATGAAGAATACTTAATTGTAAACGATATTGAAGTTCTTTTTTAAGATTATTTGTTGATTGAGTTATATTATCGGATATATTTATTGTAGATTGTTGATTATATTGTTTATGTTGATATTCAATATGAATAAGTTGAATCTAGAAAAATAAATATTTTAAAAGGATTAAATTTATTTTCTTACTTTTAATTTTTCTTTTTGTTGATTTTGTATAAAAAGAATATTTTTCTTTCTCTTCAATTCAACTTGAAATTTTCGTAACATTTGAGAAATATTTTGTTTGATTGCTTTTTCTTTTTCAATTTGTTCTTGTTTTATATGAATTAATTCGAGTATATTTTTATCATTTTCATTCTGGAAAAGAAGATTGTTTAATTGTTTATTCTGAATTTTTAATTCTAATGAGAGTTTTTGTTCTTTTTTTAATGCATGTTGAATTTCACTTAATTCTTTTTCAGTTATATTAATATTAAGTTTTAGTCGAAGAGTTTCTCCTACAACACTGATATACAAGATAGAATTGTAATAAAATTTAGTTAGAATGTTTTACACATATTAAACATACGTGTCGTTTGAAGATCTTTTATCTCAATGTTGCAAATTGTTTTCATATTATTCTGTGATTTGTGCTTTTGAAGTTCAGTTTGTAAATCATTAATATTTTGTTTACTTGTATTATATTTTGAATGAAGATCTGATAATATTTCATGACCTCGTTGAAGTACATTATGAGTTTTAGATCGATGTAAAAGTTCGCGTATACGTTTCTCTTCAACTATGAGAACATGTTCATTAGTCTTCGAACGATCAAAATATTGATAAAGTGTTGTCCAATATTTATGACATCGATTACGTATAGTTTCATCTTTGATTTCATTCAGAGCATTAAGAAAATTCGTATAACATGTATCATCTTGTACTGTACATGATAATTGTTTTATTACAGACATTATACTAATATTCCTAGTAACTATATATAAATATTAGTTATTATATAATACGCGCACATTATTATTTATTGAATATTTTTAATGCAACGCGAAACTCGATATCCAAATCATAATTCTCAGTTTGTCACAAATTTAACAAATGAGTTCATCTAAATCCAGAATTTAAAGTAACATATGTTGGGAGCAAAAAACGCCTAACTTTTGCCTTTTCTTTCCGGTTTAATTATCTTAAAATGTGAAAATGGTGAAAATAATACTTTTGCGACGCTTCTTGTAAATGAATTAAAGCTCTTATTCAAGACTGGAAAATGAATGCTGAGTATGGACATGGATGTAGGTGTAAATGAGGGTGCGGGTTATGAGATGATAGAGATCGACATCGACACCCACAGCCACACTCACATCCACAATCACACCCTTATCCACGCCCTCACCCAAACCCCAGCCACACCCTTAAGATGGTTATTCGTCTGTAGATGTCGATTTATATTATGACACGTCATAGTTGTTTTGAATATACGTATAAAGATAAAACACACTGTCATTCTTGTTTTTCTTCTTTCTCACTACGAAAAGGAGAAAGATAAAGCAAAAAATGTGCTTCGATTCTTTTCCTCTAACGTATATAAAGCATTATATTTGCGCAGTCGTTTTTCTTGTTGGTTAATAAACGACACGATGTCTTATAAACTTCATTATTTCAATGTTCGTGGTTATGCCGAGGTTTCTCGTTTAATATTTGCTGCTGCTGGACAAAACTTTGAAGATATTCGTTATGAACGTAATAGTGAAGAATGGACAAAACATAAAAATGAAATGCCATTAGGTCAAGTTCCAGTTTTAGAATATGATGGCATGAAACTACCACAATCAAAAGCAATAGCTCGTTTTCTTGCAAATCAATTTCATTTAGCTGGAAAAGATAATTTTGAACAAGCAAAAGTTGATTCGATTGTTGATACACTTTATGATTTAGTGGCAGCATTTATACCAGTTCGTATGGAACAAGATGAAACAAAACAAAAAGAATTAGCTAAAAAATTCTTTGATGAAGAATTACCAAAACATTTAAAAAATCTGGAAACTTTAGGTAAAATGTATAGTAATGGTGGTTCATTTTTTGTTGGAAATCAATTAACATGGGCTGACTTAACTTTCTATAATTTTACAGACCTTATCTTTCAATCGAATTCAGATTGTCTCAATAATTATTCATGGTTACAAAACAATCGTGCTGAAGTAGAAAAACAACCAAAAATTGCTGAATATCTTAAAAATCGTCCTAAAACAATGTAAACTGGCAAAAATTTATTAACTAGGCATTCTCTTTCTTCTTTCATTCCTATTAGTTTTAATAAAATTTCATTAAACCTTTAATTCCGCTCATCAAATTTTTTAGAAAAAGTAGTTACGATTCTATAGAGAAAAAGAAAACAATTTGTTATTAGTTGTTTTGTTTAAGAGGACATATAAAATATAGATAACAGAAGAACAATAAAAAAGAAGATAAATATAAAAAATGTGTTAATCAAAAAATCTCAATATTATTGATATTTTTATACATTAAGTCTTGTTGAAACAATGTATGATTTTCACAACACTCCTTTTTTATTACGAAAAATAATTTAATTTATCACGAACTAAGAATTCTGATAATATTTCTCAATTTACTAAAATGAATAGTTATCCACAATGTTGTTATTTGCTCTATTTTCAATGATAAAGTTGATTGACTGTTTGTGATAAGGAAAAAACAATATTGTTTCACTTGCATGAAATAAATGAAAAAGATAGTGTCAAAATTAGACAATATTGTTATCGAAATGACAGAAATCATTATATAAAATCATGAGAAATATTTCATATAATTTATCATAGTTAATATTCAACACGTCATATCTTACTTACAATACCTATGGAAAAAACAACAACTAATGTTCAACAAGAAACAGTTTCTGTAATAAATGAGAACGATGAAATAGCATGTGAATCATCAATATTACCTCCCTCATATACTGTTGGTGATCTTCAGCAGAATCTTGGATCAAATACTGTAGGTATTATTGGAGGAACAAATCCTGATGAAGATGAAAAAATTATTCAAAATATTCTTCGTATGATAAAAGGACATGAACGACGACAATTATGGTGGAATTTATTTTCTTTTTTGTTCATATTACTTTTACTTCCACCCGTTATATTTCTTATATTTATGCCGATTTGTATGTACAAAAAGCGCATGTCAGGAATGAATCAGATAGTTAAAAGTGGTATTCGTTATATGATTCGTTTGGAAGGTGATCAATGGATAAGATATGTTCAACATATTAATAATGAGTCGAAACGAAAAATGAATAAATCATCTAGGAAAGAACTCTTATCTCGTAGTTATGGTCATATACTTATTGGAACAGACGGATTTTTTCTTGATTCAATGTTAGGTATGCAATATGAAAATATAATGATTGTACGTACAGAAATTATTCAAGCACCAAATAAGATTGATATGATGTTACGCGCATGGTTTTGTCAACGTTTAGTTGTTATTAGAACACAAAATGGTCAGACGAATGGAGCTGTAAACAATGATCCATTTAAGTTTGATATTTTTCTGCCATTAAATATGTCTACTGAATTAGTTTCATCAATTACAAATTTTATGAAGCTTGAATCAGTATGTCGACCGAATTTCATTCTTTAACAATACGACATTTCTTTTTAAAAGACAAGTTTCTCTAATTCCCTAAATCTATATCAACATCTGTACACACTTTTATGATCAGTTCATTAAAAGAAATATTATTTTCGTTCTCATGTTCTCTATTTTTTTGATGATTTTATCGTAATTTCGGCGTAATACAACTCCTACGTGTTTCAATCACATTTGAAAACAAGGAAAAGGCGACTATGAGTTACATAGTAATGTTTGACCCAAGATTCGAGGACGGCGGAAGCCAGAGGCTCAGTGAGGCGTGAGCCTCATTGAGATCTTGAGGGTGGGTGTGGGTGTGGTTATCAGAGTAAGGTTAATGTTAGACCTACGCTTACACCCACACTTGTCTCTAGATAATGTAGTGATGAGAAGAAAGACTTCTTAATTAATTTGTTACAAATATATTTTTCATATCATATTGTAAAATTTGAAGCATAAAAAATTCTCCAAAACGATTGGTGTGGGTGTGGGTATGTGCGAGAGTGTCGTTATTCTCTTCATCCACCCACCCGCACCCACATCCACACCCTCAAGACTGTTGTATATAGCCAATCTCTTAATATAAAAGTTAATGACTATACCATCTAATATATTTATTTTTTCAAAAAACAATGAACAAAAAACTAAAAATGATCTTGACACGAACATGTGCCATTCGTCGAAAAGTGGTGAATGCAATTAGCATCGCGAACCACAATCTCCACTTGTCGAATATTGGCAATTAATTTTGTAGCTTGATCTAGAAAAAATTATGCAGGTGTTGCTAAGAACAATTGAAAAAAACGAATAACTTACGACAATCACCACAAACACGAAGATTCTTCGTGATTTGAATGAAAGATGGTTTTCTTCCTTCAATAAAATTGAAGGCAATAGCCAATCTTTCACTATGCGAACATAAAACAGATTCAACTGTTTCATGTTCACGTAATGGACGAGTAATCCAACTTGCATCATGAACATGTCCATATTTAATTAGTTCAGATGATATTCGTTGAGCCTCAGCATAGATTTCTTTTGATCGAGGATGAGACTGATCATGAGCTGTGAATTGCTACAAATAATTAATAAACTATTTTCTTTAAAATTTTATTTTTTATAAGAAAATTCTCTTACTACTACTTCTCCATTAACTTCGGTCCATGATAAACCCACTTGAACTTTATTTCCGAATTCTTTAATTCGATCTGATCGAAGAGCTTGTGCTTCTTCATGATCTCCTAACGATGAGGATATATTACAAAGAAGAACTGAAGCAGATCTTAAATGATGTTTTTCATTTGGAAATAGTAATTGCATTCGTTTATAAATTTCTTGTGATAAATGAGATTGTCGAGAATTACGTGCACCAGATAAAAGTGCCACTAGAATCAGAAATAAATTATTAATTAAGAAAAATAATGTTATATTGAAAACAGGAACACTCACTATACATTACTGAATATGGTGCATTACATTTTTCATAATCTTCTATGAGTTGTTTTGCTTCATCAAATAAAAAAAGACGACTTAAACAATCAACCTAAATCATGAGAAAAACTTTCTATTAAACAAAAAATATCAAATACACATACCATTGTAGTAATAACTTGTTGCGTTTTATGATAAATTTCATTGAAAATTGAATAAGCTTCGTCAAGAAGACCTGAATGTGAACATGCATTTAATATGCAAATATATGAAATTTCGTTGCGTAAATTATTAGGCATCTTTCGATATAAATCAACAGCTTCTAATCCCATACGATTTTTTCCATATGCATTAACTTCGATGATAAAGTAGAAAAAAAATTGAATAATTAGAGATAAAACAAAGTAAAATCTATTTACTCATTGCATTATATGTAATAACATCAGGTTGATTAACTGATTCAAATATTTGTTGAGCATTTTTCACTAGACCAGCTTTTCCCTGAAATCAAAAAGAAATAATTGTTTAGAAAATCTTCATAATAAATACATACCCACATACTTATTAATGCATTACATATATATTGATTATTATATAAATATGATGGA